AAATCGTTTTTTATCGAACGAACGCAGCTTTCGTTTTAATCGTTGAAAATTTTCGCTGCACTAATTCATCCCCCCCCCCCTCTTAGTGCTCTCGATCCTAACAAAACTTGGGCCTAGTTAGCTCCTAATTGAGTTGGCCTAATTACATTCTAAACCAACTCAATTAGACTCTAAACTAACTCGATCTAGACATAATCGATTGCAAGTGAATCCTATGTTATTCGGCATGTCATTAGTTCTTTCGGTGCATCATCCTTTCCTTCGGTGTATTATCCAATTAGCATGTTGTCTTCTCGCAACATCCAATCTCCTTAGCGTAATGTCCGATCTTCTTGGCCCGATACCCGAATTTACGGACCGAAGCCTTCTACCGACACGTTGACCAATCCTCCGACCCGAGGTCCAATCTTCTTACATGTTTGCTTCAGCCCAATGTCCAATTCCTCATACTTTAATCAATTTACCTTTTCTTATTTAAGCTAGTCTTGCGTCACTTAAATGCACATTAGATGACAAACACATCAATTAATTTAATCATCAAAATATGAGATTCAACACTAGTAAGCGTAGAAATATATATCATATATACATATATATATATATATATATATATATATATATATATATATATATATATATATATATATATATATATATATATACGCATCCACACTAGATGATCATGGACCAAAGCCTAAGTGATCAGGCCCGAGCCAAAGGTTTGATCATATACATAAAGATCTAAGTGTGTCTCGGTGCATCTCCATACTCGGTGATTATTCGTCTCATCCTTATCAGTTCTATTGATATCTTAGCGTATCTCCATACCCATTAGCATTAGCATCTTCATGATCATGTCTTCTCATATAATTATAATTTAATTACAAGTAAGTATGCTCACAAATATACATATCACATGATAAAAAGTTTTCATCTTAGTCAAGAAGAGGTACGATACTATGGAAATTACATGCCACGTATAAGAAGGTGAGAGGGAGACTCGTATGAGTTGACCCTCCATGCGTCATCTGCAAAAGGAAGACCTCCACGTTGAACGCACGTGACACGACGGGGAAGATGCGATCGGGGTGGAAGGTTTGCTCATACGTCTGGACCGTCGATCGGGAGCCGATCAGGTTGCTAAGTGCATCAAGAAGTGTGATGGACGCAGGTCATGCGCGGTAATGGATAGGCGCCAGCACGGGAGAGGATCCGAGTTCCACAACCGGCGGCATTTCTGTTGGTGTATCTCGCGGGGTTAAGACTAGGGTTTAGATCGATCTCGTCGCACGCCTTAGATACAATACCCCGTATTCCTCGTCGAGCTTTGCGGGATTCCCTCAGCCTACCCGCCAGAGGTACCTCTCGTCCTCTCACTTCCTCCTCTCTGATAGAGTCATCTCGCCGCTGGATAAGTTTCTAGTTCCATGGATTGAAACTATGCTGGATCGCGTACTTTAGTAAACTCACATCGATTTGGTTTCGCATCATGTCGAAGTCAATGGGATGTTTTATGGCCCCTTTATGTATGAGCTTTATTCTGCGTGAAATCTGAGCTCATTTCAGGAATTTGATCGCTGTTATGGCGAAGTCTTGGCGCAGACATCGCGCGCCTATTGCTGCTCGCTACTCGCCCCTTGCCAATTCTAATCTAAATGGCCAGATTGGTAGGTGTGGTGGATCCTGAAAGAAAAGAATGGCGTGTCTGTATGACATTACCAATTTTGTTATATACTTCAGTATTAGCGTCTGATACCTTGTTCACGTATTCTTAAGTTCACGAATTCAAGCATAGCATTATGATGAATATTGTTGTTTTGTGACACATTGTCTTATCTCTTGTATGACATAGATATTTCATAAAATACATATGTGAAGCTCATCATGATTATACTGCGTATTATTGAAGTTTTATTAATGAGAGAGCATCATAAAGTGAAAGAAGATGATTCTTGAGTTAAGCTGTGTCTCGATCATTACAAGTAGAACAGAAGTTCTGATTATCAACGCCAGTGAACTCCTTCTTCGGCCTATTTATTCTTATCTTCCTTTGTTTTTTGTATAATTATGGTTATATATAGAAAGGTGAACAGTCTGATGGATTATTGTTGTGGAACGTAAAAGGTCATTCTAAACCTTTGGAAGGAAATGTCCCTCTAGACAAGAAGTGGAATTATGTTTGCAAGGAATGCTGCACCATTTGCAATTGTACATTGCTGTCATCATATAAAAAGAATGATAACTTGAAAGTTGAACTATGACATGAAAAGATAGAAAGGTCCTAAGCAATAATAGGGTGGCTGGTCTTATTTTCATCTGAAAACAGTAGATATTCGGCTGTTGTAACAGGAAAAACAGGAATCCTGAAGCTTTTTGATTGAGAATCTGCTAGGAGTTACTAATATAAATGCAAGAGGATGGAAGAGAAAAAAGGAGGAGGTAGACAATAAGATGAAAAGTGTGCAGCTCAGTATTTTTAATAGGCACCCAGGTGCTCGGGCAAGGTGAGGCGAGGCCCGAGCACCTCGCACAATGTCCGGGCGACGCGCTTCACTGAAGTGTTGCCTAGTTGCTCACTTGAGCCTAGGCATCAGGAGTCTTAGGCGAGCACTTGATTGAATGCTAGAAAATTGAACTAGAATGTGAACATTGGTTCAATTGAACCAACAAAATCCAATAGTAAACCCCACCACCCCACCCCCCAAAGTGAAACCTAGACTCTCGTTGCAAGACCCATCTCTAATCCACTACTGTTACCTTCGTGCATAGCTCCCTCTGTCGTTGACAAATAGGTCCAAAGCTTCCTCCGCTGCCAATGGATAAGTCCAAAGCTCCCTCCACTATCACTGCTTTCATGCACAGCTCCCTCCATTGCTGAGGGATAGGTCCGAAGCTTCTTTCGTTACCAACAGACACATTTGAAGCTTCACTCACCCTCGATGTTGTCGTCCGCAGCTTCCTCGGCAGCCGCTGCCTTTGTGCGCAACTCTGTCGTTGAGGGATAATAGGACCCTAGCAAGGTTGGGTCCTACTCAACTAAGAAGCAGCTAATAAAACCTTGTGAGATTGTAATAAACCTCACATAGCTGCCTCTATCCTATAAATAAGAGTGGCTAAGGTTTATATTTGGGCCTTTAGGCTTCTTAGCCACCGCCCCCTTTTACTGGGCTGGTTGGTTAGGGTTGAGGGCAAAAGGGGTAACTCACTTAGGAAGCAGCCCCTAGGGCTAGAGTTTGGAGCCCTATATAAGTATGTAGCCTCCATCTCTTTGGGAATAAGATCTATCTACAATTGCAGTCATTTGGCCGACTTCTAGGAGGAAGGAACCCCTATAGCGTTCCAAGGGTTTATCCCCCCTCAAAGATCAATCTACATATAATTCCTCTGGGGTTCTATCATCTGGTATCAGAGCAGTGATCTTGCTGCTTTTGCTGCCATCCCTACCACCCACCACTAACCAAGCAATTCCTACAATTGCTCTTGACGTCGTCATCTCCACTGTTATCTTCTACCGTAAATCAAATCAATCTACTGTTGTTACCTCCAATTGCATCAGAGATATGTTATTCTCCTATTACCAATACATTTTGCTGCTGTAATTTTCCATTCAAAATACCAAGAAGAAGTCTTTTTATCTATCCCGTACTACGAATTCCTTTCGTCGCAAAAGTTATCATCTTTGCGAACAAAGGATTACTGCAAAAAATTTCAGCCGCATATTGTTGCCTTTAACCAATCTATTTCATATCTTTTTTGAACGACATTTCTTATACGCTTCACAAATCATCTTGGCTTCCATCTAAGATTGATATATTGAGGAATTCATCTCTAAAAACGTTTTTGTGTTGCTGTAAATTTTTGTCGCAAACCGTTGGAATTTTTCAACGAGAATTCTGCTATCGCAACTTGCAACAATTTTCTTGCTATTATACTGCCGAAATTTTCTTGATTAAATTTGTCATTATTGCTGTTATCTAAATCGAGATTTTGCTGTCAAATTTTCTCTTCAAATCTCTCGGTTTTTGTTGGATATTTCATCGAGAAACCAGTGTTTCTTCGATGACAATTCTACTCTTATAAGACAACACCTATCTGCAGCAACTTCCACCGATTTCTATCAAACTTTTGCTGCCATCTACCACATATCTAAAACTTTTTTTCCCTAACCTTCATCCACTACCATCACAGCCCTTAAACTCCACCAAACCACACCCTCAAACCACACCCAAAACAGCCACAAAACAAACCTAAACCGTAGCCCACATCCACCAATCCACCAACCCTTTCGACCACCACTTCTCTCAATCGATACATGCCTTTAACCCGACAACAAAAGAGAGATCTTAACATTACAAATTTGGAGGCATATACTATAACATCTGGGGAGACAATCAATGCTAAATTCGAAGCTTTCGAGACGCGAATAGAAGATAAGATTTAGACTCTCTTTACTAAACTCAGTTTGGGCCGACCACCAAGCCCAAAGAAATCACATCAAGGAGAGAGCTTTGACCGAAAAGATGACTTCCAAGAGAGGGGAGGCTCTATGACTGATCCCTACTATCCACGCATGAGGGTGGACTTCCCTAGATGGGAAGAAGGAGACCCAATTGGTTAGATCTCGCGCGCGGAGCGATATTTTCGGTACCACAAAATCGGGGACGCATCTATGGTGGAAATTGCCGCTATACATCTTGAAAGGGATGCTATACAGTGGTTTGACTAGTTTGAATACACTCATGGAGTCCTCTCATATCAACAATTCAAAGAAGGACTGCTGATCCGCTTCGGACTAACCGATTACGAGAACATTGATGGACAACTAATAAAGATCTGACAAACCTCCACCATTCAGGAGTACCAAACCAGGTTTGAAAGGTTATCTAATCAAACTCGTGATTGGTTTGAAAAACAACTATTGGGAACCTTTATTGAGAGCTTAAAGCCGGAGATTCGGGGAGAAGTTAAAGCGCGACAATTGTACACGCTTATGGCAGTCATCTCTTTCGCACGACTTCAAGAGGAGCGATTGAACCATGAAGCTCGGAGAACTAGGGTCGCTCCACGACCAGCAATACCGAAGCCCTTAGCCCCCCCTACTGTTAGCCGAGCCCCTGCACCAAAAAGGTTGACAAGAGAAGAGCTTCGGAAGCGATCTGCGAAGGGGTTATGTTGGCATTGCGACGAACTGTGGAGCCGCGAGCATCGTTGTAAAAAAGGGAGACTTCTTGTGATTGAACTAGTAGAAGAAGAGGTCATTGAACATCCAGAAGAGAGCCTTGAACATGAAGAATAAGATGCGGAAGAAGAGCCACAACCGACAGACTTTATGGTACACGCACTAGCCGACTACTCAAACCCGCAAACGATGAAAGTTGGAGGTCTTCTCAAACAACAACCGATCACTGTTCTCATCGACACGGGCAGCACTAATAACTTCCTAAACAGTAAGGTTGCTGCTCGGATGGCGCTCCACATCGAAGGTTGCAGCAAATTCGACGTAAAGGTCGCCGACGACAGAATCCTAAAGTGCAACCAAAGATGTCCGCAAGTGAAACTATTGCTGCAAGACCAAGAAATTATCACCGACTTCTTCCTCCTACCAATTGATGACTATGAGGTCATGCTTGGCATAGAATGACTGACGACGCTAGGTGATGTCTCTTTGAACTTTTCCAAATTAATTATGAAATTCTACTGCAAAGACAAATAGATTATCCTACGCAGGAAGCGCGGAAGCAATGTAACCACCGTTTCGACCCAACGAATGGAGAAAGTTTTACACAAGGTAAATGGTGGCTTTTTTATGCATCTCCAGCAGCAACTAAAGGGGAAGAAAATAGAAATTGAAGATCAAAATCTCGCCCAATTGCTTGCTGAATTTGCCGACATTTTTGCTGAGTCACGTGGTCTTCCTCCTACTCGACAACATGATCATCGGATTCCAATTCTTCCAGGCAAGCCACCAGCGAACACTCGACCGTACCATTATCCTCACCTCCAAAAGGATGAAATTGAAAAGATTGTAAGAGAGATGCTTGAAACAGGGGTGATTCGGTCAAGTTACAGTCCCTATTCCTCACCGGTGCTACTTGTATGCAAGAAGGATGGAACTTGGCGGATGTGCATCGACTACCGAGCTTTAAATGACATCACCATCAAAGACAAGTACCCAATACCAGTGGTGGATGAACTTCTTGATGAGTTAAAAGGAGCTTGAGTCTTCACGAAGTTGGACCTCTAATCCGGTTACCATCAAATTCGGGTATGTGAAGACGACATTCCAAAAACTACATTTTGCACACATAACGACCATTATGAATTCTTGGTAATGCCTCTTGGACTCACTAATGCTCCTTCAGCCTTCCAAAGTCTCATGAACGATATTTTTCGGAGCTTTCTTCGCAAATTTGTGATAGCATTTTTCGATGATATTCTTATTTACAGCCCTTCTCTTGAGACTCACTTTCAGCATTTACGGGTTGTTTTAACGATCCTTCGGGAGAATACTCTTTTTGTTAAGCAGCCAAAGTGTAGCTTTCTTCAGAAAAAAGTAGAGTACCTTGGGCACATAATATCAGAAGAAGAAGTGGCGGTAGACGCAACAAAAATTGAAGTAATGCAAGGCTGATCGAAACCTATAAACATGAAATTACTATACGGGTTC